AACTCAGCTATGCTGCTGGTCACCTAGTCTCTAGGATCTGTATGTCTCCCTCATCCACACATCCAACACTAGGGTTACAGATGCACACCACATCCTGTGTGGTACTGCTAATCAAAACTCAGGTCCTCCTGTTTGATCAGCAAGCGTTTTATCCACTACACCATTTCCCCAGATCCTAAAACTTCTAAGTCCCTGAAGAGGTCAGTTGTTTTTGTTGTTGTTGTTGTTGTTTAATTTTGTTTTGTTTTCTGATCTTTTCCCACAATTGATCCAGATTTCATAAAACCCACCAGAGCATAGACAGATGTCTGTTGCCTGTAGGCAGAGTTTTCCTGTGTCCTGGCAGTGGCTTCCCAAATAACCACTCAGAGACTTATTATTAATTATAAATGCTTGATCGATAGCTTAGGCTTGTCTAACTAGCTCTTACAACTTAATTAACCCATTTCTATTCATCTATGTGCTGCCCCAAGAATCGTGGCTTTTACCTCTCCTACATGTCCTGATTCCTTTCCATCTGGCTGGTGACTCCTCTGACTCCACCTTTCTTCTTCCTCGTGTCCTTAGTCTGACTCTCCTGCCTAACCTTATCATGTCCAGCTGTTGGTCAGTCAGTTTCTTTATTAAACCAATCACAACGACATATATTCACACACAGTGTAAAGGAATATTGCAGAGTTGCCTGCCTGTAAAACTTACTCAGTTGGGATCCATGGACCCCACCCCCAAAAGCTATTTTTCCTCAACCAAAGTAGTCAAATCCATAAAGGAAAGGGAAGGGAGGAAATTTGGGGGAAGATAAAGGTAGGTAGCAGCTGAGAGAATCCCTCAAGACTCCCTGGCAGGAATTCACCAGAGACCTGCCAACAACCAGCTGCCTGCCACACCATCTGACACTGTAAACAGTGAAGCCTTAGAGATGCTGAAGCCATCAATTCCACCCACTGGACCTCAGAGGGGGCAAAGCAGACCTGCTGGCCCTTGTGCCTCCCTGGTCAGGCTCCTCAAATCTGTTGCTGATATGATTCCAGAAGCTGTTCCTGGGAAAGCACCCTTCAGGGAAGGGATAGGGCAGGTGACAAAAGGGCTTTCTTTGGTGGTCAAAGAATGCAGCTTTGTTCAAATACCAATGCCTTTAATCCCAGCACTGGGGAGGCAGAGGCAGGAGGACCTCTGTGAGTTCAAGGCCAGCCTGGTCTACAGAGTGAGTTCCAGGACAGCCAGGGCCACACAGAGAAACCCTGTCTGGAAAAAACAAACAAACAAACAAACAAACAAACAAAAGAAGTGGATTCACAAAATTGGAAGGAAAGAAGGCCCATGAGAGAATGGCAAATCCACAGCATGGTGATGAAGAGTATGGGAATGATATGGAAGCATGGCCGCAGTAGACATGATGGTGTCCATGATCCAAGCTGCAGCCAGAGGACATACGGATGTCTATGATCTGTGCTCCCACTGGAGGCCATGTTGATATCTGTATCACTGAAGGTCATGGAGATGTCCTGGTTCGGTGCTGCCACCAGAAGTCATGTTGCTGTTCATAGTTCACGCCGTCACTGTTAGTGTCCATGATGTATGTGGCCTGTGCTGCTGCTTGAGGCCATGTTAACATCCGGAGTCCATGTGACCACTGAGGGTCATGTCGGTGTCCGTGACCCTGCTGAAGCCTTGGAGCGGTGTTGATGTCAATGGCCAATGTGATCACAAAAGGCCGTGGAGATGTTCACTGTCTCTGCTGCCACATGAATCCATGTTGATGTGCAAGGGCTGGACTGCTGCTGGGTCCATATTGGTGCCTACGACTAGTATGGCCCACTTTGATGGTATCTGTGGCCCATGTGGTGTAGAGGGATGTGTTGGTATCTGTGGTCTGTACTGCCACGGGAAACCACACTGAGATCTGTGGCACCTGCTGAGTCCATGGTCCCCGTTGTCACCAGAAACAATGTAGAAGTCCCTGATTCATGCTCCCACTGACTGTAAAGAGCAAGGAAGCTTCTTTTGCAGTGGTATTGATGACTGCAGACTCACAGTTGAGAAAGAGGGACATGGAAAGCTTCTGTGAAGACCCCTGCCTCCATCCCAATCCCCCCAAAAAGTAACAGCCTAAACAGGAAACCATTGAAGAGAACACTTAAAAACCATGATAATAATGCTGAAGTGTAACTCTCCACAAACGAGAGCTTCTGTCAAGGGTGGGGATGAAGAAGGACTCAGTTCTCTCTCTCTCGTTTTTTATAATTTATTTTTATTTTATGTGCAATGTTGTTTTGCCTGCATTTATGTCTACTGAGGGTGTTGGATATTCTGGAAGTGGAATTACAGACAGCCATGAGCTGCCACATGGGTGCTGAGAACCCAACTCAGATCCTCTGAAAGAGCAGTCAGTCCTCCAGCTGCTCAGCCATCTCTCTAGCCCCAGACTCAGTTTTCTTTAAGGGAATGGTAACTGAAAGTGTGACCAGTGAGTATATGGGCAACACATATTGGACTTAGATTTTTTTTGAAGTTGTTCTTCTTTTGGGGGGCGGTCACAAGAGTGAGGGGTTAAACCTGGGAGCCTGGGATGGAGCTCATTATGTGAAATTCCCAAATAATCAATAAAAATGTTATGTTGGAAAAAACAATTACATATAACTGCATCTGAAGTTTCATGTGTACAGTGTGAATTTATCCACTCTTGTGTGCAATACCCCACATCTAAACCAAGGTAAAAGGCTCATGAAGTGTACAGTCCTACACTATTTGATCACATCTTTTTGTGGTAGGAAATGCCTTTCCACGTACTTTTGCATGGACATTTACCATGCACCTCAGCTTGCTTCATGAGAACAAAACAGAGATGCTATGAGGGGACAAGTATCTCTCACACATAAGATTAGAACTCAGAACTGGCTTGTAGAATGTCACTCAAAGTAAGTCATCAAAGTTAAGACAGTGCTATCAGATCTAAGATTGATTTGGGATTTTGTGAAGATTAATTTTGGATATAATTGTGAAATCCAATGAAGGAATGGAGTCATCAAATATATGAATTCATGTGATTTGGCCCTGGGAAGAAAGATCATTTTTCTTTTAACCTGAAACTCAGAAACTAAACTCAAAAGTTCTTTTTTATTTAAAGGTTTGTTTTACTATTAATTATATCTCTAAGGAGTGGAGGGGTTGTGCACCTGAGTAAGTCTCCTAAGAGGCCAGAAGAGAGCATCAGATCCCATGTAGCTGGAGTAACAGGCTAGTGTAAGCTGGGAACCAAACTCTGGTCTTTTGCAAGAGCAGTAAACACTCTTAATCATGGAGCCATCTCTCCAGCCTCAACTTCTCCTTTTTCACACATATCACTATATGCAACATGTAGCGCATGTTACCATTTATCTCAGGCATATGAACTCTGTTTTCTCTCAGTTCAAACATAACAGAGGCAATGGTATTTATCTCATTGGATCCTCATGTAACCCTGGCAACCAAAATGCCTGGGATGCAGCAGGAACTCACCAAGCTTTCTTGAAACATAGTATAAGTAGGATTCCACTAATTGTCTGTGTTTAGAATTCTGGCAACTTTGTTGAGATATTTTCTTTTTGTGTTTGTTTTGGTAGTGTTTCATTTTTTGAGACAGGATTTTTCTGTGTAACAGCCTTGGCTGTCCTGGAACTTGCTTTGTAGACCAGGCTAACCTCAAACTCACCTGCCTCTGCCTCCACATGCCTGAGCCAGCATGCCCTGCTCCACCCCCAACCCCCCCCAACCCCCACCACTCCCCCATGGGATGTTCTCTTGATTCTCCTCTTTTTTGTTTCTTTGTTTTTGTTTTTGTTGTTTTGTTTTGTCTTTTGAGATAGGGTTTCTCTGTGTAACCACTCTAACTATCCTGGAATTCTCTTTATAGACTAGGCTGGCCTCGAACTCACAGAGATCTACCTGTCTCTGCCTCCTGAGTCCTAGAGTTAAAGGCATGGAACACCATGACACCATGCCCAGCTCAGTCTCTCAATTTTTGTTTATCTCAAATGTTTAAATGTCAAAAGCTTTAGATAGTAATTCCTTATGTCAACATCCTCTCTCCCTTCTCATATATCAGAGCTTTTTGAACAAAATGAGGAGATTCTAGTTTCTTATACAACTCACCAAATATGTTGCCTAAGGACTGTGTTGAGCATAATTGAATAATTGCGCTTCATGTTACTTTGTATTTCACAGTTGATTTTCTCAGATATTATATACTCCTAATGTAGAGTGTTTGTAACCACACTGCCAGTGAATAAAGATGCATATTCTAATATAGAAAACGCATCCTGGGATAGAGAGGTGGTTCAGTGGTTAAGAGCATCCCTTGCTCTTCCAGATGACATGGGTTCTGTTCCCATTACCCGCACAGCAGCTCCTAACTGTAGGTAACTCCAGTTATAGGGGATCTGATGTCTTTTTCTGGCCATCAGGCATGCATATGATGCATAAGCACACACACAGGCAGAGCACCAGACATAAATAAAAATAAATAAAGTCGTTTTAGAAGATGGTTGACTGTATAACATGACACTTTATAAGACACCTTACATAGATAAAACAATGTTGCCTGATCCCCTGTCCACAGTCACTGACCACACTGCCCAGAGATAAAGCCCTGAGGCAGTATAGGAGGGAAGTAGCCATGCCCCTCATTTCTGTCCTGGAGCGGTGAAGCCTGTGGCTGCTTACATGCTGTGTACCCTCAGACAACTCCTGTCTTACAGTCTCTCAAGGCTGCAGTCAGCCTGGCATGCTGGTGGCAGATGCCTCTCATTCCAGCACTTGGGAGGCAGAGACAGGAGGATCTCTGTGAGTTCAAGGCCAGCCTGGTCTACACAGCAACAAAAAAGGCTGCAATGACTTTCCCATGATCACCTGGCCAGGCAGTGGCAGTCGCCCTGCTCTGAGTGCCCACACAGGTCATTTCTCTCTGTGTGTCCCAGATCTGAAGACATCCCATGATTCCCGCACAGTACAGAGACACGGGGCAGAGAGCAGAGCTGCGGGTGTTTATTAGAATCAGCTTAACAGACTGGACAAGGAGGGGACAGGTGTCTGGATTCCAACTTCAGGAGGGAAACAGGACAGGGCAGCCAGATGACACCAGATCAGCCATCATATTACATAGAGGTTAGTTTGGAAAGAACTTTCTTAATTTTGTCCAACATGTCTGTGGTATAGTAATTCCTGCATTCTGGGCTGAGGAGGATGGCTTCCTGGAAAACAAGAAGACAGAAAGGGGCAGAGGTGGTTACAGGCAAGGGGCAGACCTCAGCAGGGTGCCCCAGTCACCCATGCTGAGGCCGCTCCTTATCCACAGGGAAGAAAATTCCTGCAGTGATTCAGGACTCCAGCTACAGACTCTGGCCCAAGGGAGCTGCAGCTGATCCGCGGCTATCAGGAGCAAGGCTGAGAGGCCACGCTGGCCAGGCAGGGCCATGAGGGGGAGAAGGTGCCTGAAGGCATGATGGGGGCTAGGTCAGGAGAGGGGATAAGATAGCTGAGTATTTTGTTGATGTCCAAAACCTGAGGACATCTGTCCAGCACATTGGCTGTATGACCATGTTATACATACATCCCCTGTGTGGTGTGTTACAAGAAATTCTTTTTTGGAGAGTTCTGTGGTTTTGCAGGACCTGACAGACAAAATAAAAGTACTTTGGGATATACAGAGTGAGAGATGCACTATTCAAAATACACATCTGTGTAGTCGAGCTATGCTTAAGTCAGAGACAGAAGGGAGACAAGGAGCAGCTGTGGTGAGCAGCTGCAGTCACCCCCTGGAGGTGGGGGTGGCATCTGAGCCATGGAGGGAGGAGGTGGGGTGGCATCTGAGCCATGGAGGGAGGAGGTGGGGGTGGCATCTGAGCCATGGAGGGAGGAGGTGGGGGTG